TGTGTGTGTGTGTGTGTGTGTTCACAGGCCTGATGCTGGCGAGCCTGCTGCTCGTCTCCCTGTGTGTCGAGGCCGCAGCCATGTTGGACGTCAGACTGGACGTCCACTGGGAGCTGTGGAAGAAGACTCACGGGAAGACGTATCCAAATGAGGTGTCTCCTGTTTGTTCAAACTGTCCAGTCACAGATTTGACTTGAGACCGAAAATAAAATCATTGTTTTTGCTGATGTGGTATTTAGTGTTTGACCTCGTGCACTGCTTTTGTTTCTGCTGGTGTTGAGGTGGAGGATGTGCGCCGCCGGGAATTGTGGGAGAGGAACCTGATGCTCATTACTAAGCACAACCTGGAGGCCTCGATGGGGCTTCAAACCTACGATCTGAGTATGAACCACATGGGAGACCTGGTGAGACGCTCGCACACGACAAACGATCAAACCCATTGATCGTTATTGTTCACGATCATCACGTCCATTTATCAATGACTCATCCTGGGGCTGCCGTTAAATATTATTTTCTTTATCGATTCATCTGTTAACTATTTTCTGGATTAATTTATTGTTTGGTCGATTGAAATATCAGAAAATGGTAGAAGATGCCTCCTCCATTGTTTTGTCCAAAAGACCAAAGATGTTCAGTTCACTGTCATTTAAGAAAATTATTTCATTAAGAAATAAAAGTCAAGCATCAAATTTGTTACCAAATCTATGATACCGATGATTTCCATGTTTCCACCTAACAGAACATCTGTCCAAGAAGAAAGAAAGTCAAATCTGATTTTATTTTTAAATATATATATATATATATAACACTGCTGTTTTCTACTTCCTGACAGACAACAGAAGAGATCATGCAGTCGTACGCCACGCTCACTCCACCTGCCGACATCCAGAGGGCGCCAGCTCCTTTCGTGGGGTCAGGCGCGGATGTTCCGGTCTCGGTGGACTGGAGACTCCAAGGCTGCGTCACCAGCGTCAAAATGCAGGTAAAGACTCAGTGTTTCCGTCAGCGAGGAACCAACAACACACACGTTCCTCCTCTTCTTTATTTTTTTGCCTCTTGTTGAAACAGGAAGTCTTTGTATTTGTGTATTTTTGTGTTTTTGTTTATTAGTGTTAAAATCTGCATGTACTTATATACAATATAATTATTGTTTATCAGATATTAGTACACATTTTATGTCTGTTTACTTTATAGGAATGTTTCTTATGACTCCTCTGTAACTGTTGAAGTTTGGTTTTGATTTTTTGTTTCAATAACTTTTCTGTAACCTTTTGTCAGTTTTCACTCTAGAGATGATATTTAATTTTAACTATATTATTCTAAGAACTAGATTTAAACAGTTTTACATCAAAAACTCTTTTATTATGTTGGTTAATGGGCATAAAAATAAAGTAAAATAAAAAGGTGACCTCCTGAAGTCACTGTGAGAACTTGAGAAAAGTCAAAAACAAAAGTCGATATTTTTTAATGTATTTCTTGTGTTTGAAATATTCAAGTTAATTTGCCAAGAAAAAGATCAGATTTTCAGAACATACTACAGCTGCTGTTGAGAATCATTCAACCACAGACTCATGACTATTGATTTTACAACAAGTTAAATATAATTGACATAAAGTTCTTTAACCTCTTGAACTCTTTTCCAACCTCCAGTGGATTCGTCTGCACAAACTTGTCTTGTGCTGCCAAACGTGTGAATGTGTACAGAAGGATGCAGAATATTTTAATTGATGTGATGCTGCTGCTTTTATAAGTATATTATATGAAGTATGTTTTTAGGATTACGTTTGAAACTGGGAGTTGGTGTACATGAAGTTACAGTGACACAACTTGTTAAAATCCAGGGTTCATGTGGCTCTTGCTGGGCCTTCAGTGCTGCAGGGGCCCTCGAGGGCCAGCTGGCCAAGACCACAGGGAAGCTGGTGGATCTCAGCCCCCAAAACCTGGTGGACTGTTCTCTGAAATACGGCAACAAAGGCTGCAACGGGGGCTTCATGGACAGGGCCTTCCAGTACGTCATCGACAACAAGGGCATCGACTCAGAGGCTTCGTACCCGTACAGAGGACAGGTGAGTGTGTCATGAAATAGAATTAATGCAAAAACTACTAAACCCATTTCAACCAAACTTGGATGTGGAATGGAGCAAGAACCAATTCAGGTTTGGTGCAGATCCAGTCATGTCATATTTTATCTTTGCAACATAAAGCATCTGTCGACATTTTCCTTCATTCTTCTGGGAATAATTCACAGATTCTATGATTTGAAGAAATATTTTTTGAAATATGAATCTGACGCTTCCTTTTTTCTTTTGTATTTCTACAATAAGAACCAGACAATCACGTGTCAGATTATTCAACCTTGGCAGAAGTATGAACTCTACTGAGTGTCGTTGATATATTCATTTGGTTTTGTTCGATTTTATTTAATTTCTGCATTATCACAGACAATCGTTTGTTTCGGTATCAGTTTACACACCAGTCAACAGGGATTATAATCCGAAAATGAGAAACTGATTTCTTTTATACTTTGTGCTCTTGTTCAGTTTAAGAGAAATAAAACCATAATGTTCTTTAAAGTGTGAACATGTAGGAAACCAGTGCAAGCTCAGGTTTACGTTGAAAGGATTCCTGTGTGAGACAAACTGTGTGGGTGTACGAACAGCAACAATAAGTTAAGCACAACCCTCCAGGCTGCAGACAGCAACACTCTCCTCACTTGTCTGTGGTCGGCTGTTAATGTCTCTTTGGAGCAACAATAAATTAATCGGAGCGGACAACATGTTTGTCCTCCAGGCTCCATCTGGTTCACTGCTGTGTGGAAGAGGAGGAGGAGGAGGAGGAGGAGGAGGGCAGATCTGCTGCTGCAGCCTCGTGGACGTGTCGTGGCTCTAATTCAGCCCAAAAGTTAAAAAAGAAACAAAGTGAAACAGCTTCTTAATGAGCAGAGCGACAATCGTCTCAATCAATCGTTACATTTGAGATTTTAGTTCTAAAATGTTTCCCCTGTTTTATTTTAATCACTTGAAGAATCTCAAACTCAGGACGCGGCTGCGTTTGTAAATAAAGATGGATGACACGTCTCTACTTCTCCCCCCCCCCCCCCCAAAAAAGAAAAATGTATTTGACTTTTTGGTTTTTAGTTTGGTCCATGTCCCATTTGCTAACATGGAGGAGGCCGGGTTTATGTTCTATACTGCAGCCAGCCACCTGCCTATCTACGGTCTAAAGTCCAAATGATCTCATCACCACAAGATGGCAGCGTTCGTATCCAGGATATTTTGGCTTCATTTCTGGATTCCACAACAAGTTGCATCTCTCAAACATAAAATTGTCAAAGCACCCACAACGCAGACAGTGGAAGCAAAGTTAAGTTTATGTTTTGTTTGAATAGGGCCCCCTGGTGGTTGTGGTGCTCTAATTAGCGGGTGCTTTTATGCCTCAGGCAAATTTCTTGACATAGACGCTGTGTGAATCAGTTTTATCTCCTCACTTCAGTTGCAGCAGTGCAGCTACAACCCATCCTACCGCGCCGCCAACTGCTCCAGGTACAGCTTCCTGCCTGAAGGCGACGAGGGGGCTCTGAAGAACGCGCTCGCCACCATCGGGCCCATCTCAGTGGCTATCGACGCCACGAGGCCCACATTTGCTTTCTACAGGAGCGGTAGGTGACACACCGTTAGACTCTCCGATTTGCTGACTTCATATGTCCCCATATTTGTTTTGTATAAAATTGTTTAGAATATGCACAAACAAAGTGGCTTAAACGTGTGTAAAATTTATATCATTTGTAAAAATGGATATATTGAGATGGATTTGAATATGCTCATTTCAGGAGTATACAACGACCCAACCTGCACCCAGAGAGTGAACCACGGGGTGTTGGCTGTGGGCTACGGCACTGAGAGCGGGCAGGACTACTGGCTGGTGAAGAATAGGTGAGACGTTTCACATCTGGTCCATATAACACAGACTTATTTATGAACATAGGAACGAATGTAATGTAATGTTTCTTCCTCCTTTTGGTTCTGTCCGTGTGTCAGAGGATAAATAGGAAGTGAAACAGGGCAGTCCGGATGTTTTGTTCTTGCTGTTTAAAATGTCACAAATGTTGGGCAATGAAGCAGCGATYAAGAAACKGAGAAAATGAAACAGATGAAGAAGCAGCCATGAAGAAACKGAGAAAATGAAACAGATGAAGAAGCAGCCATGAAGAYYCKGAGAAAATGAAACAGATGAAGAAGCAGCCATGAAGAYYCAGAGAAAATGAAACAGATGAAGAAGCAGCCATGAAGAAACAGAGAAAATGAAACAGATGAAGAAGCAGCCATGAAGAGGCAGAGATTTACTCCAACCACCAGTCTGGTCTCAGTCAAACTTAATGTGTGAAACAGTTCAAAAGTGGTCAGAGCGGTTTTATCAAGTTTCTCACCACAGTGATTTTCTTCTTTGCTTCCTCCGGGTTGCACTTTTTTTAATGGTAGCTGTGAACAGTAACTCAGTACGTTGAATTATTGAAGTTCTTGTACTGGAGTATTTCAAATTCTAAACATTTTATGTAGGTTAGAGGTGAAATCTCTTTTAGGGAATCATCTTGAACTCACCTGGTTTTCATTTCCACCTGATGACTGACGACACAGCTGTGAAGAGGTGGGCGTGGTCACCATATAAATTCAGGCTGCTTGAGTTGAGTCACGACGATGAAGTAACGCTGTTGTTGTGTTCCGGACATTTGAGCTACTGAAGAATGTGAAGAGCATTTTGAGATTTCTAAATAAAATATAAATCTTTACTTTTTGCAACAGATCCCCTCTGTTGATTTTAACACTCGATCATTCTCTTCTATTGTTTGTCTGTCAGCAGGATTAAGAATAAACTAGTGAGCCAATTTCTTTAAACTTGGTGGAAGTTGTGGGACATTGACCAATGAAGATCTGAGTGGATTCAATAAAGTTCATATGTATATGTATGAGGACGTTTTGGGGAATTTTAATAGACAATCAAAAGATCCTTTGAAAGAAAATCATGCACATGTGGAGAGCTAACAGAAACTCAGCCTCGGTGGAGAAAGTAGCTTCTCCTTCCAGTTGCCTTGAGTAACAATGGCCAGCTTGATCTGCAATGCACATTTAAATGAAGACAGTTTATCAGATGAACAATATGCTGCTTCCATCACTTGAAATTCATTTTTCATTTATTTATCTTTGGATATGTTCAAACAACACATGTAAATGACGTATGTAAATATCCAAGGAGCCTCGTCCTTTGCCTGTTTTTTTTTAAATGTGGTGGTTTTTTTTGTGTTCTCATCGTTCCAGCTGGGGAACCTCTTTCGGAGACAAGGGCTACATCCGGATGTCGCGCAACAAGAATGACCAGTGTGGCATCGCCCTGTATTGCTCCTATCCCATCATGTAGCAACACGGAAAAACAAAACATCTTTAGAAAAATCATAACTCGCTTGTTTGTTCTGTGAAAATTTATACCTGAAAATGTTTTACTGTAACAGTCACTAAGTACCAACACGTCATCAAATTCACTGTGTTGTGTTTGTGTGATTTTAAAATCTGTAATAATGAAATATATGCACTCATTGCTGAGGCTCAGACAGGTTTGGATCCATATATAGGTTTACTCTCAGTTAACATCACGTCTATGCCTGCGATGCAGTGGAGGTGAAGAAGTGATTTTTGCTCCAGCAGCTGTTAAACCTGCCATAAAAGCCATCTGAAAGGAATCCATTGACGTGGGAAATTGGTGTGTTGGTCAATTTAGCTTTTACATGTTACCGGGGAACGTCAAAATCAATACCTGTGTCTCTGGTAGATATTTGTGCACATGTTGATGTAGCATGTACAAGCTGCCTATAGGCAACTAAGGTTATCATCCACAGGACAGAAAAAAAAGTCCTTCTGGTGTTTTTATTTCCTTGTGACGCCAAATATTAAACTTTACCAAGACGTCAGCAGAGTCCGTCCATCCAATATTTATCACTCATGCTTTGATGGCAGAGGCGGAGCTGGATTCAATCCTAGCTGACGTTTGGTTAGAGGCGGCTTACACCCGGGGCAGGTCGTCAGATTATCACAGGGCTGACAAACAACCATTCACCGTCACATCCACGAGTCTCCAGTTAACTTAAGTTGTACGTCTTTGGACTGTGGGAGGAAGTCGGAGAAATCCCAGACACAGAGTGAACATGCAAACTCGACACTATTAACCACTGTGCACAACAAAGATGATGGAAACTGCATCTTCAGTAACACAATCCCAGAGTCCTGAGATGATCTATTTTGTTGAACCCAAACAGGAAGTGAAATACGAAAAATGATGACAAGTTGTGTTTTGACAACCCAATGATTGACTGAATCGTCTCTTTGTTTGTTGCAGTGACCTTTGTTTTGAGTCTTAATGCTAAACTAACTAACTGATGGCTTTAATTTTTATATACTTTCCATGCAAAGAAAGCTAATAAGCATGTTTCCTCAAATGTTGCATAACTACTTTGAAGCCTGCTACCCACAGAAAGACTAATATGGGCTTTGACCAAAATATTGATTTATCTTAAAATGTTCAGAGTGGCAACAATAAAACTGGTGAAACATTATTATTCTGTGTCTGTACTGGCTGATCAGTGAAAAACCCTTGTTACGTGTTTCCAAGTATTATTTAAATCCACAAAACTTTATTTAGATTTGAAGTGGATAAGCAAAACCTTCCAAATAAATTGTGTGAGGCTATTTAGGAGAAATTAGAGTTAAGAACATGAGCAGCATGGGTTTGATTACTGTCATAAACTGGAGTGTCTTTTCGGGGCCACAAGTAAAAGGAACCTGGGGGGCCCTTCACAGGAGGAAGCTAGGGGCATGGGGCCTTGTCTGGAGGGTTTTCGACTGTCATAGAATTTAAGGGGGTTCTTGGGGAGCCTGTTCAAAGATCAGGAGCCCCAAGCAATTGTCTGCTTTGCCCATCCTGTTGCAACGGCCCTGGTGATGAATAAAACAATAACAATATATAACTTGTTGTATTTGTTATACCTCTTTTCTTGGATGACATAACCAATTTAGAAATAATGCAAGTTAAAACGTAGTAGTAAAGGATTACTTCATTTAGCAAAGATATCAGTGTCAGTGTCTGTCTTTACAAAACCCAGACAGCTTCCAGGCTAACACCTCAAACAAAGTCAGCCGAGCACAGTGTTGGGTTACAAATGAGTCATTTTTATTTTTTTAGTGCAACATCACAACAAACAATTTTCACATGAGGTATTCAAAGGGATTTTCTTTAGTTGTTGATACAAAATGTCCCACCATGATTGACGTTTAAAGTGTTGTGTATTTTTTTTTAAAGCCTTTGGTTGGTTAGCCACATTCATTAGTAAGTCTAACACATGGACAAGAATGGCACGATAAAGCATGGTGGGTCGAGTCCAAGCTGAGGAAACTTAGACTCAAATATAATATTTCCCTCAGCTCTTCCCCGTTTAAAGCTTTTTGAATGGATTTCATTAATTCCTACTTACAACAGTGGGATCGAACAGTATTTCAACTACACTAAACATTTCGGAAAAAACAGGGTTGGGAGGGGTGGCTTACAAATGTGGAAAAATAGCTTCTGTCTCCTCTGACCTTTTTTATCTTGGGGTGGGTGCTTGATTCTTGGGCTTTTTCTGTTACATGATTCTAGTTCTCGGAAAACAAGGAATAGGCAACGTTGATTACAGCAAGATCCTCCTTGCTTGGATTGTCACCTCCTTTTTTTTTGGTCTTGAGAATTGTATTTATATACAGAGCATGGATCAATGGGACACTCTAGCATACTGGACTTAAGCTTTGGCTGGACAGGGGGCCACGTTCGGCTCCTGTTACGGATTGATTCCAGCACGTTTGGTTTGGAGTAAAAGGCATGAAGAAGAGACGGATGGACAGACAAGATAGATAGATTGATAGATAAGATAGATAAGACAGACACCCTGACAGGATGGATTCTTTGGTTAAGGAATATCTTTGCCACACAACATCTCACACAGTTGAGGTAGATGGGTAAAGTCTTCATGTACACACAGGGGTGAGGACGGGAACAAACAGGGGACACTGGGGTTCACAGAGTCAAAAGACTTCCATCTGAAGACACTGCCTCATGTCAGTTTCTCAGTTCCAGCTCAACATAATACTGTTTTATGTAACATAAATACTCAGCACGCGGAACCCCACTGGTGCTTTTTTGAATCCTCTGAGTGCTACTGTAGCTCTGATAGGGAACTGCTAAAACTACCCATGATACATCACGATTCAGCAGTTACCCATCAATCTTTGGTTGTTTTTTTTTTTTTTTGGTTTAAACATTATCAAAAAAAAATTTTTTTTTTTGGTCTTTTATCTTTTTTATTCTGAAAGTATATATTAGCTTTCAGTTCTGCTATTCCATTATTTACGCTCCCCTCAGACTCGCTCTGCAACGGCCTCGGCTGCCAGCCTTGCTTTCAGGGTCAAGTTTCTGTAAAAGCCACTAGGGGGTGCCGCAGGCTAAAATGGCAATGCGGATCACCTGCAGCAGCCAAATGGATTCCCTCCCTCCTCCCTCCCCTCTGTACAGACAGGGAAGAGCTTCCCTGCTTGACACTGAGCAGAAGGTGGCTCAATACAAAAAGCTCTGTCTCCATTTTAGGCTTCCAGTCAGCGAGACAAAGGGAAACCTGAAAGGTGTCACCTCAGCTTTGATACAATGACAGTAGAGAGCAGGGGTCGGCAGAGGAGCCTCCAAGCTCTTTCATTTTTCATTTTTTTCCCTCTGCACAGACTCAACTGCACGCCCTGACCACTGCCCCCCCTTGCTCTCAGCATGCTTACAATTGTTGCTCATTAAAGTTTAATTCAGCTCCATGCCCCACTACTCCAACACCTCCTGTTCCTCGAATAACCCCCCTCCCACCTCTTCTACACACACACACACACACCACTACCACTGTCCTCGTTCTGGATGATTCCGCCTCCTCTCTGATCTCCCCCCGCCCCCTTTGAATGCCCCCTAAACCCCACAGGTCTGGCCGAGAGCGGACCCCAGACCAGATACCCAGAGAGGAGATGGGATGAAAAAGACCTTGCCTTTGAAGTCTGCGAAAAAGTCGATGGCCTCTTTCATGACCGCCCGTCTTTCAAGTGCACGCTGTGAAGGGGGCCCCGGCAACCCACCCCTTCCAACGTTAAAGACAGTGAGAGAGAGCGAGGGAAGAAAAGAAACAGAGAGAGAGGGTGGAAAAGGACCAATCTAGCCTCAACACTCTTTGGCAGCATTTACACCCGGGTCAGTGAATCAGATCCTGGGCAATCTCTCCTGATTTAGGCATTCAGCATTTAAAACACCGGAAAATCAAGTCACTTATGCCTGTGTGAGTTGCAGGGGGAAGACGGCCACGGACAAACCTTATAAGCCACGAAAGCCTTTGCGACAAATTCAAGGATTCCTGAAAGATGAGGGACACTCCTTAGGAAATTTAGGGAGCCTGAGCGTCATTGCAACTAAATTAGAGATCTTCAAAAGATGAGGAACAAATCTCTCAGAAGACTTGAGAGAAAACCTTAAAGATCCTAATAAGACCAGGAACAATGTGTACGACCTTCAGAACTCGGTCAACATAGACCTAAGGAGTCGAGGAACACGCAGGACTCAAACTCCAAGAATGAATCCTGACACCCTCAGAACCCTGATGCTGGATCCACATAAGACAAGGAACCTCTCAAATCTTAAGAACCTCCTAAACCAAGAGTGAATCCTAACACCTTCCAGAACTCTAGGAACAGGACGACAACCCCAAGACCCACGTAAGACAGGGAACCTCTCAAATCTAAAGAACCTCCCAAAATCAGGAGTGAACCGTCTTGGAACTGAGACAACTGGCAGAAGGGTTTAGTATGGACAGTAAGATCACACTGAGCTGGACATAGACAGGACTGTCTGAACTGCACTGGGGAGGGGGGGGCAGGTGAGGGAGATGGGAATGGGAGAGGCGGGGTTCACAACCATGCATTTCCCCAGGCAGTCAAACAGTACGCATGTTTGCATGTGACCCTGAAGGACTCGCACTCAATGGGACCTCCAGACAACGCTTTAAGTGGGTCCCCAGACACTTACACAGTCCGCCAGATGGCATTGGTCTGAACACAACTTTACAAGCAACCTGTGAACCTATGGGATGCCACATTGTTGTTGTTATTGTTATCAACATCATTATTATTGTCATTATTCATAGTGTTATTAATTATAAATATTATCACAACATTCAAACAAGCTTTGGCCTTGACGTTAAGAGCTGACCGCAGAGACAATTGCAAGAGTAAAGAAATCCCCATTATTCTACAAAAAACAAAAAACAAAGGCCAGGCCTCGAAGATAGAGAGATACGTAACATCACTGGGGGGTTCGGGCTGGATCGGGTCGGGTTCGGGGTTCAGGGACTCAGGCCGTACATTCAGGGACGCAATGTTAATCTTTGGTATTACGATGGGATTCTACAGCTAAAAGTGCCCATCAGAAAAAGTCTTCAGTTTCACACAGACATACAGAGCATAGTTAAATAAATACTTACAGTATATAGATTAGCATAAATAAATAACCAAATAAATAGAAATAGGGAAAGAAAAGGGGAAAATAATAAATACACAAATGCAGTAATAAATACATTGATCAGATCAGCAATTGCATTTAAAAGGATCTTGGTTTGATTTAACTATTGGCTATAAGGAGGCATGTTAAAGCCTTTCCTTTGTGGACCAAAAAATGACCTTGTACGTCAGCAGGGCTGAAACAAACTGCCCCGTGCTTCCAATGTGTTTCTATAAATAGAGCGATGTGCTTGAAATCTGTACAAAAAGGGCTGAAAGAATCACATTCCTCCATTTTCTAGACATCTGTAAAAAAAAAAAGATTTCAATATGGAGCAGAGGTGTGTACAGTTTGAAAATGAGTGGAAAAAATAGGACAATGTCACTATACATTGTGTCAAGTGTACCTCTTTACCGCGGAGCCTTCGTGTTCAAAGGCTGTTTTTCATTTTTGTTTTTTGTGGCTTGATTTTGAGTCAAAAAATGGCTGTGGAGCTCACGTTTGGAAGCTCAGTGAGAGTCTTAAAGCTGGACGTTTGCACCAACAAGTCCGTTTCTGCGTCCTACTTGTTATTGATTCTGTCCGGGGCGTACAGCGAGATGCTCTGCGCTTTCCCCCTCGAAAACTCTGATTCATTCAAGGCGGGACCATCCTCACAAAGCACAGGCAAGGCTCCTGTTGACGGTAAAATGATTGACTGCTGGAAGTTACAGACGCTACAGAGCCCTCCTGATAATTCCAGGCTCTGGACTCAAGACAACGCCACACAGACGTGGGAACCATCACCATGGAAACACATGCTAAGAAAGGGAAATTAGGTTCTTCAGAAAAAAATGGCTAAGTTTAAAAAAAACGCCTTTTCTTCCTCTTTCACCTTGATTCTCGAGGAAGAACAGACGGGACCATATTTGTGGAGCACACTGGGGCAGGATTAACGTCTTTGGATGATGGTGAACAGTTTTGATTAAGATGTTACACGATGGCGCTCTCCAGATATGAGCAAACGACATCTTGATTCTTCACGTTTGGAGAGATGACAACAGATTTGAAGGTACATCAAAATATGCTTCCTCCTGATTTGTAATACCCTCATTATCTCTATTCTACATAATCAAAATAATGCAATGAGATGGCGTCTATGTAAGGGTGTGACTCTTCTATGAGTCAAATAATCTTTGCACCCTTGACTATACAAGCAGGACCTCACATCCTGCGATCATATCACTCTGGGTATCGCCCCCCTTCCATTTCAAGGAAGCGATCAACTTTGGTTTGGGAAAATGCTTCATCTTCATAATATCATCTACAATCGCTGGCTCCGTCGCTCCTTCTGATAACGAGGAGGACATTTATTACGGCTGATCTCTGCCTAGACCAGTCTATGTGCCCCCTAGCTCCCTCAGCGCCCTCCCCACCGCACCTCCTCGGCGGTCCGTCATCACGCCGTGCTGCAGGACACTGCGGAGGAGGAAATGCTGGAGCCTGAGGAACCCGTGGAGGAAGGACGGCCCTCATCTGCCCACTTGTTGATGTTGCGTCGGCGGGCGTTCATGAAGAAGTTGCTGACGGTGGAGAGCTCCAGGCCCAGCTGCTGGGAGATGGTAACTTGCAGCTCTTTGGTCGGGCGGTGGTTCTCCCTGAAGATGGCCAAGAGTGTACGCCGCTGCAGGTCCGTGAACACCAGCCTGGTGCGCTTTGGGCCTTGATTGCGCTCCAGCTTGCTCTGCTCCTGCTCCTTCCGCTTGCAGGCTGCGGGCAGACGGATGAAAGATAAATTAAAAAAGGAAAGGCGAAACGGGTTAGCTAACAGACTGGCAGGCTAACTAGGACAAATGGATTAAGCTGAGGGAAAGTGGATTTGTTGAAAGAAAACAGATTAGCTAAGCAACTTTGATTAGTTAAAAGAGATGAATCAGCAGCTTGCTTCATTGTTCTGTAAAGGAATCAAGATGTGGAACCTTTCACATCTTATTGCCAGTGAGCTGCTGTGAGGCTGCTGGGATAAAACAGATAACTACGTGCAGGCTGCAGCTCTGAAGTTTCCCTTCATGGTCTTCATTACGACCCCTTTTTGAAAAACCGTGCTTACATAGATCTGGCTTATAGACAAAGTGTAAACTTGTCATCAACTGACAAAGGCTACGTCTCCCCCCCAAAAAATAATCGCACTCAAAGACACAAACAGGATGCGAGGATCATTTTGCAAACAGTAATGATTTTCAGCCCACGTCTTTCATCCGCTACAAGGAAAATTACTGCAACTTATTATGGTATATTATATTTTGACAGTTAAAACTATTCCAGCACTTATATTCTGGCTTTTACTCCTCCATATATGTTTTACATTTTAAGTTGGAATACACCTTCAGAGAGCGGTGAGAGAAAAATACTTGGAGCTAAACGAGAGAAAAGCCAGACACATTTAAAGATCTCTTCACTTACACATTAGCGAGATCAGCTGATCAAAAGCTAAATTGGAATTTTCCGGTATCTTGTGGCTGTATTTAAAATAAATTATTATGATTGTTGTCATATTTTAGGCAGACTATTTGTATCTTGCCCTAATATAATTTTGTCTTTTTTAATGCTGTGGTCCAGAGAGGATAAAATATTATCTCATTATTCCTTGGAGAATTAGCTCCATGTCAAAGTTGGCCATATTCAAAGTGGTAATAGAGGTGATGAAGTCTCCTGGTAATTTGTATTTTAATGCAAGTCTTGCTTACGCCGACCAGAAAATAAAAACTCAGGGTCTGGGTTAAACATCACTGGCCGCTCAATTATATAATCAATACTTCCTCTGGAAAAGTCTCAAATTAAAAAAAAAATGTCCTGCAAAAATAAATAAATAAAAAGTGAATATAATAAAAAAGGCATTTTAGTCCAGTGAGGAGGAAAATAGCCTGATGTGTGTGGGTTGAGCTCAGATCCATTTTGAGAATCAGACGTGCATTTTGAATTCAGGCTGCATGTTCCTCTGCATATCCATCGCTGAACCTTTCACCTCGAACACGCTGTAATTCTGTATTTACAGGAAACACAACACCAACCTCTGCCTTTGTGTACTGAGCCAACTACCCCCCCCCCCTCACTCTCTCTCTCTTTCCTCTCTCCATCTCCCTTGACTTCCTCTCTTCCCTTTACCTTAGTAGACACTTCAACATCATTAGTTTCTCATAAAAGTCATTTACATGTGGCGGCAGTGAGTGAGCAATAATCACTTTAGGGGGAACTAATTTATTTTCTATTAAAGGCGGGTTACGTCAGGGGTGAGTGAAACAAGCAGAGTCGGCATTGCCCCGGGTGTTTAGAAGCCTTAAGTGGACTGAAACATATTTGGGGGAGTCATGCAATTACCTAAATGCACACGCACTTTAAAGAGGTTTCAATCAGCGCTGTGTGGCTGAGCGACTGTTTTGCTGATGGTATCAAAGGCGTTTCTAAGTGTAAGCATTGGTGTATGTGCACTCAACACGCACGTGCATGCCAACACACACACACAGTAGGGAAGGGATGGATGGACTTGTGCCGACAGTAGACTTTTAATACCAGCCAGCAAACTGGAAACAAAAGTGTCCTTTCTTTTTCTTTTTCCTGCATTAATTTGGCCGTGCAACACCTACTTTGTTTAGTAAGGAGCTAAATATTTGTGAAATAACATGCTCTCACATTAACTCTTCAGAATGAACGCTGAAAAAAAAAAAAAAGAAGAAGCTATTTTACGTTTTATTCTTTCACATAACAGTGTCGACTACTATGAATGGGAAATGCAGAATCTAGAATTAAAGAAAAAAACATTTAGTTTTTAAAATCTTGACACAAACCACTGGAAACACAGTGAAATAATCCTGCTGCGATGCCAGACTTCTTCACTTGCTCTAAGAAAACAAGGTTTATGAACTCTGTTATTGACTCTATTATTGATCTTGATTAGATGAACATATCAGCCGGCAAAAGCCTTGAAATCCCATATTTCAAACACACACACACACACACACACACAGACACAACTCTCACATGCTACACACACACATTATATTAAGCGCAAATGCTGCCTTTTGCTCTCAAAACAGCGTTCAGTTGATTGGCTTATATCTTCCTATTGAGAACCACCTCACACAGTGAGGACCGCTGATGTTTGCTGTACGACGGCTCCTCACTCCTCCAAACTCACTGTGGCAAATTTATCTCATTAGCCGAGTGCTTGAGAAATAAAAAGTGTGACCTTACAGATGTCTTTTCCATCAGAGCTATCGTCACGACGGCAGCATCAAAGCCGGGTCCGGGGGCCCGCGTGGGTACGTGGCACCGCCGGGCTTTGATTGCCCTGACATCCAGCCGAGTTTCTGAAACTTAAGCACTCGACTCGACGTGAATAAATCTGGCCCGTGAAATCCCTGCATACATTCTGCTCTAAAATCATTATCTGAAGGAAATGTTTTGACTCGGGGATGCACTCTTGTCAACTTGAGATTACAGGGGCCTGTTAGCGTTTAGGCATCCAGAGCTTGTTTGCATTTCTGAGAGTTATCGAACGACGTCTCATTAAAATCTGAACAGGCCGAGATGTCAGCGGCATGTCAATATCACTACAAGTGAAATTTCTTGTTTTTTTTCCAAATGCTACATTTTTCACAGGCGTTACACCATCCACACACCATCAATATTTCTGGGTTGGGGGTTGGGAGGTGGGCTGCAGCTATAGAAGGTGTATATACAGTGGTGCACTCAGCTCATGTAGTAATGAAAGGAATGACATGATAGTGCAGGCTAGCTTGCTTGTAGCGTGGATTTATGGCTTGTTGGAGGAGTCGGGGTGTCCTGCAGCTCTCCTCCACCTCCTCCTCCTCCTCGCTTCCATCGGCTCTATCCCTTACTGACGAACACAGCGGCGACCATTAAGTAAATGCTTCCTTATGCTGTAATCATGTGTAAAAGGCTCACAATTACCATGCTATAAATCCCCGGTGCTGGGGCTACTCATGGAGACATAAATATTCCCCTATAGGCTTCTTATGATCGTGGGAACAGCCCCTAATCATGATGTACGCCCCTGTCTCGTGTTGCTGAAACGTGATCGAAAGCCCTTTCCCTACCCCCCGGCGTCTCAACCTACACCTCCCCTCCTAGCCAGAGAGACCCCCCCCCCCGCAGCCCCAGCCCACCCCCTGCTGATTTCTTGGGCCAGGGGCTGATAGAAATTATTGATTAAATCTGTGCAGCTCAGACTCCTCGACCCACAGAGGCTGGTTAACCCCTTCAGCGCCGGAGTGGGGGGAGCTGCAAGAGCTAGATAAAAAAAAGAAGAAGCAAAAACAACAACCCTGTTTGTTTGGTTGGTGCGCAGCTCAGGCCACATCGGCCTGTTTACGATTCCTGATATGTAAATGGAATCGGCTTTGACCTTTGAGCCTCACCAGCCGAATGTGAACTGTATGCAGCGAGAGGTGGACAAGGCTTTGTGGCTTTCATTACTGTGGGGGTGGTGCAGGCACTGGAGCCGACACGTAAACCGCATTGACCTTTCTTATTCATTTAGACCTTTAGTCAAGGGCTTCAGCCATCATCTTTAAAGTTATAGTCTCTGATCCCCCCCCTCGACTTTAAGTGTCGGAGCATTGCTGTACGAGCTTTATCCTGCCTTCTTCTCCAACTAAATCCTGATTGCCTCCTCCAGTGCCTGGGGTTGGGGCTGGAGATGCATCTCATATACGGCACAGTAATCCATAGAGCACACACACACACACACACACACACACACACACACGCACACACACACACACACACACACACACATACATACACACAGGGAAAAAAAACAAACAAGATACTGCAGATAAATCCAAGAGATCACCTCCTCCGTGTTTAGCAAAATGTCGCTGTTGAAAGACAATTATTTGAGGAGACAAAATGGCAGCGACTACATTCCATAATCGCCGTGCGTCCAGCCTGGCAGAGAGCTCTGCAGCCCTCCATAAATAAGAGACGTAGTTATGGAAATAACACCGGGCCGCTGGTTGACACTGAAGGGCCTTTTATGTATTTAAGCAAGTGTTGCATTAAACAGGATCATCTTAAAACTTGAGGCGTGAAGCAAAGAGCACTTGAGCTATCTTCAGACTGGGGAGCACAGGGCACCGCACATTCAAATTCCAGTCTCGATTTTGCCGATGCGGCCGAGGTGTGTGTGGGCAAGGCGTGCTGCTCTTTCCCATGGAAATCAATAGAGGCTTGTAATTAAACAAAAGGGGGGTTGGCCGGGAGAGGGGGGGGTGTTGAAAAAAACACAACAACCCCCTTCGGAAAGTAGGTTATGTAGAAAAGTGCCGAGCTGTCTAAATTGTGGCTTTGCCAAGAACTAAATATGCACTTTGAGAGAGTGTGGGAGCAGAGAGAGAGGAACATTGTCAAACATAAGCACACTTCTCTGTGTAGGGGCTTTAATTTTTTATGAGTCTGATTGATTGGCTGCTCGGACGCGGAGCACTGACTCGTTAAAATAATGTTTGTGTTTGTAAAGATGAAGGCTCGCGGATGCTGCAAACAAAGAGAGAATGATTGATGATTAGAAATCTGCTTAGAGGAACAAAGGGCTGTTTTTCCACGAGGACGAGAACGGGCGTTTTGCATACAGAGTCTGAAAACCGCAGGATTGGATTCATCAAGCAAACATTTCTGTGGAATTACAGATCAAACCCACACACAACCCATCTTCAGATAAGAGGTTCGCGTGTGATTGGTGTAACGTTTTGCTAAATGGAGGATGTACACATGTGCTCTCAGAGCCAAACAATCAAAGATCAATAATTGTGAAGGGATTGCAAGAGTGCACAATCATTACCTATGAACCCTATTGTGTTGTTGGGCTTAATCAGTCGAGCTGCTGACAGGGAGCGAAAAGCAGTGATCAACCGGGCAGGCTCACACACACGTACCACTCACAGACCCCCGCAGTGAGCAGAACGCTCAACACACACACACTCACACTCACTCACACACTCGTCTATGCTCATCTCATATTACTGTGTTCACTTGGATCTCCTTCTGTGCGCCGTGTATCAGATGGGCCCTGAGTCCCAGTGGAGGCACAACACTGTAACACGGCACTGTACAGCGTGCTGTTGTGTCTTCAATTCACATCCCTGAAGAATATTAAATGTCAAGTAGCAGATTACAATGTGCCTTTCAAAAAAAAATCTCTATCTCGTCAAATCTGTATAAATACTGCATCTGCAACTTGTGATTTTTTTTTTCCTTTTCTATTGTCATTTTTACCCAAGTGATTATATTAATTGAGTTTACAAAATAAACTAAGTATCAACTAACCAGAATCCGTCAAAACCTTAAAATATATTGAATTTGATGTAAAACAGAAAAAAGGCCTCAAATGCTCAGAAGCTCTAAAAAGCAATTTTGCTTCATATCATAATTTTTTAGATTAAGAAAACTGTTGTCAATTAATTTCTGTAGTCGATTCAGCTCCAAAGACTCGATGAACCTCTGGTTATGAAAATAACCTCTTTTCGTTCCACATGTGAAGAGTCTCACAAACCCACGAGGTGCTGCCTCGGAGCAGAACGTTTGTATTTAGCTTCGCAGTAATTGCCTCAGCGACAACGTTGATAAAAGACGTCTGGCAAAAGCTCAAGTCTAATTTGCATCAGCTACTTTGCCAACTCAACTTCAGCCATGCGCTGAGCTGATATAAATCACTGCTCGAATTAATCAATCGCTCCAGAGTGGCATTTCTGCACAAATTATTTTGTGGGCTCAAAAGCGATTAAATTGCCAAACGCTGCTCAAGCTGATCTTCATGGTTCATTTAAGAGGAGGGCAAATGTCTGTGGCTTTTTTATTGTAGCTACTGTACAAATCAATAGAGGCTGTTTGGGAGCAAAGTAAACAAAGGAACGGCACATATGGTCCTTTCTTTCTGGAAACTGTCCTCATTGTGCTGAGAAGTTCCTAATACCCAGGCTGTTGAGACAATAGAGAATCCAGTGGTACATTCACAGTGTGTGAAGAAGGGAAACATCAGTATGATGCTTCTGCTTTTCCTCATGTCTCAACCTGAGCTGCATACTGATTACTGGAGAGGAGACTTTTTTTGGAAGACATGGAGAAGGAGGGTGTTTGGGGAAAACAAGGGGAGAGAGTGTCTGTTTGTTGTTGTGAATTCTGTGTAGGAGTGTGTGTGTATATGTGTGTGTGTGTGTGTGTGTGAGGCAGATAGAGAGCAAAGCCAGATCTTACCCTCCAGCCGGAGCGAGGCCATTCTTTGAAACTCTGGCTCCTGAAGCCAGCGGGACATCCTCTTAAAGGTCTCGCGGCCGGACTTGAGCTTGCCCCAGGGCTTGGGGTTCCTCAGGAGGTCAGACAGCGTGCCCTGTGACCTACACAGAACCCTCTCGGCGAAGATGGCCTGGGGGATGCTGTACCTCTTCAGCTCGGTGATGATCCTCTGGGCCACATCCCTGGTATTGATCTCCTCCCCGGTGGTGCCTCCGCTGCCCTGCATGCCCGGCAGCATGCCCTCGCCGGGCGAGGACGAGGCGGACGACGAGGAGTGCAGGTGCTCGCTCACCTTGGAGGCCTGCTGGCTGGGGTGATGGTGCGGTTGGTAGTGCTGGCTGTAGATGTGAGGGTGGTGGCCCGTGGCATGGTGGTGAGCCTCCATTTTATTCAACTGATGCCCCACTGACACGTCACCTCCTCCGAGGCCTGGTGGCGAGATCTCACGGGCAAAATCCGATGTTCTGCAGAATAGGCTCCCCCCGTGGACGTCGTAGCCGCCGTGGAGCATCTGACCACCATTGCCATTGGGGCTGTTACCCAGACTGCCATAGCCGTGCATGGAGGAGCCCAGGCCTGAACCTGTGGAGGGGGGGGACAGGCTTTGGGTCATGGCGAGGTCCTTGCCATAGGGGTTGTAGAAGTTGGTGCTGAGGCCTCGGTCCTCACGCATGAGAGTGAAGCTGCCGATGACGTTGCTGACGGGCAAGCAAGGGTGGTGGTGATGGTGGTGGTGGAACTTGTCATCAAAGGGCTGCAGGGGGGTCAGGGTGGTGTAGGTACTGCCGGCGCTGGACGGGGAGTCGCCGCTGTAGCCCAGTGCCGACATGGAGTGGTCGAAGCCCGGCGGACGGGGTTCAGGCTCCAGGGACATGGAGGGTCCCCCGAGGGAGGGCCTGGGGAAAGCAGCTGAAAGGTCCCGCGAGTGTAGCATGGCTCTGCCATCCTGACTGTGAGCCAGGTCAGAGTGAGTGTGGAGGGACATCTCTCCTAGACCTCCATCCATCTTCAGTTTCTGCAAATAAACCTGGATCTCTCTCTGTGTTGTTCTTCTCTTGTTATTGTTGTTCCACAGCAGGGCCAACAGTCTGGAAGGTCTCTTGTTACACCAGACTATGGATTTATTGATTTGTGAATTAATTGATTTCCGGGCTTATGGGGTGTCTAATTAATTATCTGATAACGTTAAGTACTGTCTTCAAACTCCCTCAAACTCCCAGAAAATCGAGTTGGTCGCAGCAGCAGGAGCTTGGACTGGTTTTTATTCTCACTTGTGCATCAGCTCCTCTGCTCTCTTGTCTCTTTGGTGCTCAGCAGCTCCTCGGCAGAAGCTTTTGTGCCTGCGTGCGTGAGACAAGATGATGTTAGTCCGCTGCGTTTAAACTTTCATGGATAAAGAAAAGAAAGAAAACATGCGAATAAGCTTCGACTCGTGAGATTTAGGTGCTAATTTACGATCATGCATCTTTGAAAAAAAAAAAAAAAGACGCGTGAGGGATTTTACACCACACCGGGAAACACCGTTTTTTTTAATCACTTCAGTAGAATCCCGTGTTAGAAAAAGAAGAGATTTTTCGTTGTAATGTGAAATTAAACACAGAAGAAGCGCACATGCATGCGAGGCGCCCGCACATCACATATTTACTCCACATGTACTGAATCCGAACGATGCGTAAACTCGACACCGAACACGACGACGATACGCGGACGAAAATCACGGACATGTGCGCGTTCACAGAGCAGAACAATCCTACCTTTTTTCTTACTGTCCACTTCTCAGAGCGCGTCCGCGGCTGTTGTCCGTCCTGAGCATCTCTCCGACTGTGTCGCCGAGCAGCCCTGCAGATTCACACAATCGGTGCGCTGCGCCCCGGGGTGCAACATTCATCCAGAGCCAGAGCGCACAAAACCATCTGCGGTCACACGCACGTCCTCCCTCGCTTGCTGCCTTTCGTCCCCTCTTTGTTTTCCACTCTCACCCCCAAAAAACAAATCTAGTCTGGTTTTCTTTCCCTGTCTTGTTTTTTTCCGTCTTGCTCCACACTAGCAGCTCGCCTCTGTTTCTTTCATTATCTCGTGAGATTTTCCTCCTCCTCCTCCTCTTCCCTCTGCTGCCACTTCATCGATCTCACCACCAACTCTTTCTCCTTCTCCTCCTCCTCCTCCTCCCCCTTGCTCACATTGACTCTCTGCTTTCAGTGCGTCACGGCCTTAAAAATCTGACAGATGTGCGATGAAATTCCGTCTCCAATTAACCCTTTCTCTCCGGGGCTGGGGGGGTGACGGGGCGGGGGGGTGACGGGGGTGGGTGGGGGGGTGTAGATGATGCTCCCCCTCTCACCACCCCACAGGTTAAGCCTTCTTCAGCTGATTGCACGCACAACTTATGAATTATGTGCGCACATCCCGGTCATTGTGCTGCGCTGGCCCGTTTATTGCTTGTGATCAATGGGTTTTCACAGACTGCAGCTAATGTCGCGTTGTTCTTCTTTATGTAACAAGTGATGCTGCTGTCACAGGGGGGGAGGAAATACGTGTAACATGGAATGAGCTGCAATGCACACGCATTTCATTTTTTTTTTTTCTTGTATTATTGGCCTGTTTTTTTTAATGGCTTTAACTCTGATTATTCATTAATAACATCGGTGCATGAGAAGCTGTGCAGGCCCTGGGATGATTAAAAAACTAAATTAAGTGTGAATATGCTATTATGGGAATCGCCTCACTAACTTATCGACTGCGGAATAAAAATCTATCCATTCGCTCTGTGCTCTTCGCCACCTTCCTCATCTTCCTCATCTTCAGCACCAGTTTGTGTGTCTGCTTTCTGTCTCACTCGTCTTGTTGGTTTATGGGTCAAATGTAAAATCCCACTTGTGATGAATAAACCCAGTGAAGTGTCGCTCGTGTTCGTCCCTGGTCTTAATCAGCGGCTCCAACACTTGAGTCTGGAAAGTCCCTCAACGACATCAATGCGACCCCCCCCCCCCCCC